TTTTCCGTCACAGAAATTGTATTGAATATCAGCAGAAATTGTAGAATAGGAGGGAGATTGGGAAAGGATGGCTCGATTTAGTTGGTAGTGGTTGTAAACCTTTGAACCACAGGAATGAAATTATCCTTGAACCCCTTATTCACGGCCCGTTCAACTGTTTTTTGCTACATTTGAAGCATCATTGACCGAAACCTTCCTCATTGGCCCGTGGAGTACGCCACGCAGTTGCATCTCATTTGGGAAGGTCCTTTTGTGTTTTTTTTGGTACTGTAGGCCTGAGCCTGAGCCTACACGAGGTGACTACTGAATATGCATTTCATTTGACTTTCAAGTTATCACTGAGGAATCGACAGTTCTAAACACATGAGAATATTGTAATGATTCCAGGAGAAGTTGTGCGATACTGTAATTGTCAAACTGCAAAGTGGGAAACTCCGGACACGACAAACTGTACACATAGATGGGTAGCTGAAATGCGGTCTGCTATCGAACGAGGGGATCCGGCAGAGCAAATCAGCTATCGTATGGCTGCCGATCTCGAGTGAGAACTATCTTTAATTCTTGTCATCTTTCATTTTACACTTAGTCACATCAAATAAAGGAAAGTTAGGGATGATACAGTACAGTCGAATATCGATTTTTATTGATTGCAATGGATTATTTATCGGAATGTGATCCCATTTTTCTAGGTCAACCCTATCCAGACAACTTTATGGTGGCGATATCACTGGTAGTGTCTCGCTGAGCACCGATGTTCTGGCATTGGCACGAAGTCAATTCGGCGCTCTTGATGATCGAAATCAACGTCAAATAAGGGCCACAAACTTCACGGAGGTTGGCCAGTGATAGATTCCGATTTTTCAACTTGTCTGATTTTTGACATTCCAATATTTCAGTCATTTGGTTCATCCGGTGATCATCTGTTGTCCCCAAAGGCTGTGCCCGTATGGGAGGAGTTGTCAACACCTGTTCGTATAGACCATGCCTCGACACTCATGGGCGCTTTGGAACAAAGTGCACTACTTCTCGCTGATTATACAGTTGATCAACACAAGAGGTTACAGTATGATTACTGG